CCTTCGCTGTCTTCTCCTTCAGAATGTTGAACGCAACATTCTTGGTCAACGAGAGACGGATCACGGACATAGCTTTCCGATCTAAACCTGCCCAATCTGCATCCGACATCTTTTCTGGCTTGTCACCCAAAACCACGTCCAAATCTTTCTGAACCAGCAAATCTTCAATTTGCATCTTCCACCAACTGAAATCTGTACCATCGAACTTCTCAATTCGGAACTTCCCATCTTCTGCCATATCACACGACTAGACGAGATACCCGGTACAACTAATTTCAAATCTTGGTAATTTCATCAGAAAATCAAGCCCACCACACTAATTAAATTAGCCAAAACAAAAACAGGTCCAATAACCACCAACAAGGAAATTTACGGCCCAAATCTGATAAAAGCCCAATAAGAAAAAAAGGATAGCCCACTTGCCTTTATTCCCTTTTTTTTTCTTCGCACCTGCCAAAGAAAAACCTTTTTCTTTTTTTTTTGTTTTCTCCTTTGGCTACTGTACCAGTTCGGCACTCAGCGGCAATGACCTTCGAGCTTCTGTCCGGCGGCACCAGCACGGTGGCGGCTGGACGATGGAGGCTCTCGACTGGGCGGCAGCGACACAAACTGCCCGCTGCACCTGCCCGATCTGTTGGACGCGATCTAAGAGCTCGACGCGGCGGCGGCACCAACCTGCCCGATCTGGTCGGCGTTGCTCCCGGCGGCTGACAGTGGTTCGGGGCTGCGCGTAGATCTCCAATCGAACTACACGACAGCAGCGACTCCTCAACGGCTTCCCCCGTCAGCGACCACCGATTCTCAGCGGCGACAGGTTCTTAGAGGCGGCGGCTTCCCCACACGGCGGCAAATCTCCTTCGCTGCTGCGTGTTCGAGTGCAAAGGAAGCAGCAAACTCAACTCTTCAACGATCCAACGATTTGGACGGATGGGGATGCAGACGAACAGATCTGGAAAACCTTAGGCGACGACAACCTCGCTCCGATACCACTTGTTGAGAATTAAACACACAACACACACAAATAATCTGCGAGAAATGAGAGAAACGGAACACAAACGACACACAAGAATTTAACGTGGTTCGGTTTCCCTAATCCACGGCTGCAACAGGAGGATTTTCTTATTTCACTTGTGGTGTCACGATTACAAATACAAGCCCTCTATATATAGGGAAAAAGCTAGGGCTATGCACAACTGGGCCAGGCCGACAAACAAGCCTCCACAAAGCCCAACAGTTTTTTAGGCATTTTTAAGATTTTTAGAGTTTAATTTTTAGTTGTTTTGCTTAGTTTTATTTTAATTTTCATTTTTAAGTTCTTTTTAATTTTCTTTCAATAATACTCCCTCCGTCCCAGAGCATTTGTCGAGTTTTGACTTTTGGAACTGTTCATCTAAACACTTTGACTCATCAAATTCTCTCAATGTGTAAGCCTAAATATAGTTATGGGTGATCTTGTTTGATTTTTCTTAACATATAGATTATTAATATATAATTTCTATAATTTTTTAATATACAAATTACAAGATAAAATGGATTAAAGAAGTGTATTGGATGGTGTGTAAAAATGAAAGTGGACAAATATTCTGGGACGGAGGTAGTAGTAGTTTTTTAATCACTTTTTACATTTTATTATTTTTATTTTATTTTTTCCTAACCGAAATTATCAGATATCTTATTTTTTGGAGAAAAATGTAGCAAAAAGTCAAAATGCAATTCAAGTTTGAAAAGAAGAGATTGAATTTGGGCCTGAGCCCAAACCCCAATACTAAAGAATCGGCCCGCATCTCTCTCCCCCAATTTGATTTCACGCACGGAAGGGAAAAGAGAAGGAAGTCAACGACCTCTTCGTAGATTGCAGGACAATCTTCTTCAGCTCTCCAACGAGAAAAAATCTTTCGGCTATAAATTGCGCCATCGCTAAACAAGGAAGGAGGGGGCATCGCACCAAACAGAAAAGTGAGCAGCGGCTTTGGCCGGCCGCTGCAATTGACGCCACCGGAGATGAAAGCAGACGGCGGCCGACCACGGCTCGCCGGGGTTTGACGATGGTCGGCGGTGATAGGTGCGGCAGTTCCTTCAAGCTCCAATTTCTTCAATTTCATCTTCTTCTTCCTCTAATGGTAACCCTGTTTCTTCATATTTTTTTCTCCAATTCGTTGTAAAAGTGTTGTTTTAGTTTTATTTTTACATTTTTGTTTGTTTGTTTGTGTTGATTTCGAAAGTTCAAAAAATGGTTGGCGTTCTTTTATGAGGTTTTTTTTTTATGTTTTTATTAAATTCCTAATGAATGAGAATTGATTCATGTTAGTTTTCTTCAATTTTTGTGCAAATTGTTGTTGAATTGGTTGAATCACATGATTTGATTTCATAAGTAAGTTGGTATGTGGAATTTAGCTTTTGTTGAAGCTATTTTAGCTCCATATTATAATTAAATGATTTCCAAATTCATACGTGATTCTTCGTTGTGCTATGTGTTTTGTAAAATTTTAAGGATTATGGACTTCTTAGTCCCATAAGTTGGACATTTTCCTTAAGATTCGTTATCGAGTGATTGTTATGTTGTGTGTTTGTTTGTTATTTTTATAAAATTTAAGGTTGTTTAAGCGCAAAAACAATTTTCAAGTTTTTGAAAATATGTAATGTTTTCTTATGTGAATAGACTATAATTCTTATGCTTGAATTTTTCAAAGAGACCTGCAAAATATTTTCATCATTAGACGGTAAAGTTTATTAAAGTGTATCAAATGTTTTTCATGAATACTTTGTGCATAGGAGTTAGAATGAAAGATAGATTCGCTCTTTTATAAACTTTTTCATCTTTTAGAATCATTGTTTGAGCGTTTGAAGTGAGTAGGGGTTCAAAGTGATCCAAAAGGCCTTTGAATCTTTGACTCCGGGCCTTATAGAGAGTTGACGATCCTCTATATGTGGTCAAGGATATGAATCAACTCGAAACTTTGAATTCTTTTCTATTTTTAAGTGCGTAAGTTACGTAATATATTGTCTAAGTGCCTATTATACGTGTAATGTTCAATTTGTGTTTGTTCTCTTTTTCATTTTCTTTTGGGTTCTTGGCGGTGTTTCTTGGGTTACCTTAATTGGAGAAGTTGATTATCTTTTGAGCTTGTTTTCCCCATTTTTATTAAAAAAACCAATAAAATAAGAAAATATAAAAAACTAAAAAATATTTACTTTTTATCCAACCCCCCCTTTGTGTTTTAAGTTATAAATACCTAGGTATTTGTTTTATTTTTATAAGTTACTCCTATATTATAAGTTCTTTATTTATATAAGTTATTTATAAGTTTTTATATTTATTTAATTATGAGTTTTATCATAAGTCTTATCATATGTGTAGTATGCTTTTATTTTTTTAGTGACAACGTGTTTGCATGCTTAATTGGTTTTTTTTAAAAATACAAACTTTCTCCGTGGGATCGACCCTTATTTGCCCTACCTATAGTTTTTATTTGATTATATTTTGGGGGTTAGCTAAGGTTATTTATAAATTTTTAATTTATTTTAGACCGTACGACAAGTCTTCAACAATGTGATATGTAAAAAACATAGAAATATAAATGGAAATAGTTGACTAGTCGACTAAAGTTATTTTTTAACTATTAATTAACCATTTTAAACCATATTATAAACTTTAAAAAAACTTAAGAATATAAACACTAGTAACTAATCCTAATACAGAATTATGGAGTATTAAAATTATACAATTATAAGAGTAATTTACATATTTACATAAAAAATGTTGGTGTTATAATGAAAATGAAAGTATTTTACCAAAAAATGCAAATTCCCTGTAAATTTACGTATGATGTCTTTGAGAATATTTGGAATCTCCTAGACTTTTGTGGGACACTTGATACATATTTTTTGTTTTATAAAATTACACCGAACAGAACACTAAACTTTTGTTCGGAATTTGGATTTGTATAAAAATCAAACAAAAAATTGAACCCAAACCTACATATTGTTATTCCTTCACAGGTTAGTATTTTTATAATTTGTTAATACTTATAAATTTTTATTTTTATAAACAAAAAAAATCGGTAAACCAAAATGATTTGAACAGACTAGGTCTGGAAATAATAAATAAATTATTAAATGCCTGATGTTTTATACGATAGTAAACAAAAACGATTTCAAATACTCATTATATACTCTAATCCATGAATCTGTTGAATAAAATGGTGATACCAAAATAAATAGTTTGGATGGATTAAACTAGATTATTTCTAGTTTTAGTTTTATGAATTTGAGTGCATATATATGGGTGACTTTAGGTGTTGAGTATGTACATAAGGTTCTAGAACCGGTCCGGCGACCGGGGGCCACTCAACCCGTGTGTTCGAAAGCGGAAGAGTGTTTATACCCAGAGTGGGGAAGGCCACGAAATAAATTCTGAACCCGAAGAGAAGGGCGCTCAGACTTAGACTCGGACAGGGAAGTCTTATCAAGTCTATTTTTTACATAGATTGACTCTATAGTATGGTTGACTTTACATAATTACTACTTGACCAATATGTTTTTGATTATGAATAATTCTATAAAATCTACGTTGTGGTACCACTCAGCGACTTCGCTGAATGTGCAATTGTGTTTTTTTATGATTGTGTGTAGGTAAGGAATGTGATGGAGTCAACCCTGAAGAACATTGAGACAAAAGGGATATTGGCATGGTGTGGGAATAAATTCCATTTGATTCTCTTTTTTTTTAAAATTAAGTTTGAACATTTTCAGGCTTTGAACCCAAGTGCGTACTATTTTAATTAAGCTTTTGCAACGTTATTAGTTTTCCTACTTTGAAACAATTTGTGATATTGACATTTTGAGATTCCTTGAATTTTTTTTTATTGAAATATTTTCTTTAAATTATGGATCTTACTTTACCAAATTGCCACCGCTTTGGCTCGCTAACCCGAGTAAACTAGAATACGCGAATCGGGGTGCTACAAGTACTATTTTGTTCGATTTATTTTTTCTGCTTATTACTTATTCTTATTATAATCAGATCATGTAACACCCCAGCCCTCACCCTGGCCTTAAGCGTTTGCTCATAGAGTTGTAGATTGGCCTCACAAACCAACACAAGTCTTTCCCGCACACTTTGTCCTCACTCGTGCGCACCCAAGAAATTTCCCAGGGAGTCACCCATCCTAAAATTTCTCCAAGTCAAACACTTTTAACTTTGAAATTTCTATGTGACGAGCTCTCGAAAAGAAGATGCACCTTGTTAGCTTGTTAGTATAAGAAGTACTATCTATCCTTTTGAGTTCTTCACATTCCCATCTTAATATGGGGCATTACATCCACCCCACTGAGGAATGCAATGCCCTAGTTGCATCCTTTTTTAAACCCTTAGAATCTAAGCTCTTTTGGCTCGTCACGATTGTAAGGTTGCTCTGATACCATTTGCAACACCCTAGTCCATACCCTAGCCGTAAGCGTCCGTTCATAGAATTGTAGACTGGCCCCACAAACCAACACAAATCTTTCCCGCGCACTTTGTCATCACTCGTGCACGCCCGATAAATTTCCTAGGGGGTCACCCATACTAAAATTGCTCCAAGTCGAGCACGCTTAACTTTGGAGTTTCTAAGTGATGAACTCTCGATAAGAAGATGCACCTTGTTGGTATGAGAAATACTATTTATCCTTTTGAGCTCTTCCCATTCCCATCTTAATACGGGGCATTACAGATCAGACCAGATCAGATCTGCAAAAACTTTAATTATAACTGCAATCAGATCAGACCAGATCAGATATCAGCAACTTTAATTATAACTGCAATTAGATCACACCAGATCAGATCACATAAGATCAAACCAAATTAGATTCAGATCAGACGAATGGAGCGGAGCCCGAGTAATTCCGCCAGTGTGCGTTTGTGAAAAATTGGATTTGCTACAGTATGTAGTACATTCATGATATCACAATAAATATACATAGTATCTGTGTGTAAAATCCTAGGGAACACAAAAGGCTCTTCAACCACTTCAGCTCAAAAGTGCCATATACTCTGCCTCACCAGACGATCGTGCAACTGCTGTTTTTTTCTTTATCTTCCAAGAAATACGTGAATTCCCAAGCTGAACAAATCATCCAGTCAAAGAGCGCCTCATAAGAGGACACACAACCCAATCACAGCCACACCATCCATGAAGTTGTAAATTACTATCATCAGAGAGGAGAATCAATTTTATGATCAAAGCACTATAGGTACTCCGATTGGAGGTGTTGTCATATTATGACAAAACCCGTCATTGTCAAAAGAATGGGGATGTACTTTTAATAGTCATGATCATACTTTTTTATCAAAAAGTAACAAAATTAAATAAAAAAGTGATTAAAATTTAACTTTGCAAATAATAACGAGACATTTTAAGACTTTAAATTGTGATAAAGGGATAGTTCATTTCACTTTTGATTTTTTTTACTCCCTTCATCCCTAAATGTTTGCTACATTGCCATCACCGAGGTAAAATATCAAGTTTTTTCAATTCGTATTATCTACATATTTAAAGTATTAAATTTTTGCAATTTATTTTATTTACATATTGGTATAGAAATAAAAAATAAAATTTACATATTAAAAAATAACATGAAAAGTTTTTCGAAAGAAAAGATGTCAAGAATATTTTATTTTATCAAATAACCAATAAGAACATAAAAATAAACAAAAAATTTCGTAACTATTAAGAAAACAAATATTGTAAACATTTAGGAACGGATGAAGTATTTGTCTTTGAAAACAATAAACAAGCAATTTTCATAGCTCACCAGGCCCAAATTTACACAATTTTGGCCCGCTCATATCTACCCTTTGGCATCCTCTCTGTCGTCGTCATCATCGTCTTCATCATCATCAGTTTTTCAATGGGACACTAACACACTATTACAAAAAATGGCAGAGGCACTGCATCAATTGCATCGCTTGTATAAATAACCGATGCAAAAGATCAAAGGCATCAGTTGTTTTTTAAAAGCGATGCATTTGATAGTTATTAACTAAAATTTGAAAAATAAAAATATGTATTAGCATCGGTTATTTTGAAATAACCGATGCAATAGACCAAAAGCATCAGTTATTAAAAATAACCGATGCTCATATATATTTTATACTCTCTCCGTCCCCCTGTATTTGTCCACATTTGACTTTTGGAATTGTTCATCTAAGCACTTTGACTTATCAAAATTCTCTCAATGTGTAAGCCTAAATATAGTCATGTGTGATCTTGTTTGATTTGTCTTAACATATAGATTATTAATATATAATTTTTATAATTTTTTAATATACAAATTACAAGATAAAATGGATTAAAGAAGTGCATTGGATGGTGTGTAAAAATGAAAGTGGACAAATACAGGGGGATGGAGGGAGTATTTTTTTGTATTTTTTTAAAATAAACAAACACATCGATTTTTAACTAGAACCGATGCTAAAAGTAGTTTTAAATTTTTGAAATTTTTAAGGCATCAATTGTTTTGTACAACTGATGTTAATACTATGAGCAATGCTAGGAGTACACCTTTCCATTTGTTCCTCCACTCCCTTCTCCACCACCCATTTTTATCATCTTTTTATTTATTTAATTATTTTTAAAATACTTGCCCAATTATGTGGTGGAGGAGGGGGTGAGGGGCAAATGGGGTACACCTTCTAGCATTTTTCTAATACTATTATATACCCGGACTATTAATTAAAATTAAATAGGAAAAAGCTAAGGCATCAATCGTTCTTTTTAGCAGATGCTAATCCAGTATTTTACAGAAAATTACTCACGGATGACGCGAGTTTTGTTGAAATAACTCTCAGGTCCCTCTATTTTCAAGAAGACAGCAGAGGTCCTTACATTTTGTTGTAATGACTGGAAGAGGACATTTCATCCAATATTTCATCTATAAACATTAATAAATGTATTTTTTTCCTATTCTTTTCTAAATGTTTTAAGGTAATAAATCTTAGGTCACTCCTTTTTTTATTTCTTTATTTTTCTTTCATTTTGTTACTATTTTTTAAAGTGTTATTTTAGAATTTCTTCTATAAAATCGTATAAAAATTCAAAATTGTTTGTATTATATTAAAACAAATGAAATAAAAAAATTTAAAAAAAGAAAAAGCAAGGTAATGGCAAAATAGGAAAAAACGGTATTGGAAAAATAGGAAAAAAATACATTTATTAACACTTGCGGATGATGTATTGGATGAAATGTCCCCTCCCAGTCATTACAACAAAATATAAAGACCTCAGTTGTCTTTTTGAAAAATAGAGGGACTTAAGCATCTCCCCCTTCTCTTCTCGAGAAGAACATCGCAGGTCCGATCCTTCCTCTCTTCGTTGTATTAGTTGGCTGATTCCCATCTACGACAACCGGAGAGATTCGTAGCAGCTCTTGCCGCCTTCATCTACGTCTTCTCCAGAAGAACAGAACCGGAGAAGGAGCCAGGAGCGGATGGAGGTTAGTTCTAACGTTCTCCTTCCATTTTGATTCCTTGTTCGTTGCTGAATTTGATTTAATTTCACTTTTCTGAATCCATTAATGAATTAATTTTAACACAGGGATTTAGGTGTACCTCCCTGTGATGGTGTTTGTATTTGTTTATCACTGGGTTTGCTACTGCTCTTAGTCGCCATCTGGATTTAGTTTCCGCCATCGACGTCCTGGTCCAGTTGGAAGAACTACAGCGACCTATCTACGAGGTATTTTCCCAATTTTCCAGTTATTCTTTGATTTTCTATGTGTGAATTTCTATCCTCACAACTTGCGAATTCATAATCGGGTTCGTAAATTTATAATGGTTAGTAGTGGTACTCAGGTGTGTGTGGGTGGGTGGATGGGGGGAGGGGAACTTGACAACCTTTTCCAAGGATATGTTGGCATTAGTTTGTATGACGAAAAGACCCTTTCAGTTGGAATGAGGGTGAGGGAAGACGAATTTGAGAGCAGATATAACACAAAATAACATAGAAAATAACCTGACCAGGAGAAGTCGTTAGAGAGAAGAAAATGAACATTTCCAGTTGTCCAAACAAATTTCAATCAAGAAAGTTTTCTGCTAAAGTTGCCTACTCCTAGACAAAGCAAAACTAAATAATCACACTGATTGTAGGAGTCTGATATCTATTTGGAGATTATCTCATAGCCATCACGGGTGCTTGAGTGCTACATAATCTTTCTTGGTACGGATTCCTTTTTCTTTACTCTATCCTACAGCCAATTCCAGTTTTCCGGAAATTTCATAAAAAGTAAAGTTTAGTTTATGCATATCTGCTTTGTAATAAACTGTGATAGTACTTGCATCTTTTATTTATGAATTACTGAAGTCAATATCTCCACCACTATGAACATCAAATTTGGGTGGGAATGCTTTTCAGATTTCACTAAGGGTCGGTCGGAATTTCGGGCTTGGTTTGGTCTTTTTGGTCAGCTTGTTTGGTTCAGATAAGATTTGGGAAGTGATTGTCTAAATAAAAGCAAGCTTAGTTTTGTTTAGTTTTTGAAAAGGTTTGAGTTTGATAGTTTTTTTTAATTACGGTTTCAGTGTTTTTTGCTTGGTTCTTTAATCAGTTTTAGTTTGGTCTAATATGAACTGGAAAAACATTACCAATATTAAAACCAAATTAGTAAATTACATATGATTTGGTTTTGGTTCCCCTGTCCAAGATAACCAAAATGCCCACTACCATTTTAAATTCTTACTGCTTTTGATAATTATCTGTTGCACTCCCTCTTAAATTTCATAAAATGCTCTCAAACTGATATGCTTTGCCATATGTTTGTACTTAAGTATGTAGGTTCACACATAAGAACAGATTTCAATCACATTGGAAGCTCAATGCCTGTAGACAGAGGAGGAAACCCTCAATGGATCCCTGGTCTCCACCCAGACAATAATACCCAGAAAGCACAGCTTCCCGGACTGCTACCACTGTTCCCTGGTCAGTGTTTCAGTTTCATACAAAATAATTGGCTTCTACAGTTTTTACCATGCCTAGTTAATCTAGTGTTAAATTTTTGAAGGAAAGAGCTTCATTTGTACTCCCTGTGCCCAAAACAATCTGTCCCTAAAGTGTCCTATTTTATAAAATGAAGCTAATTTTTCATGTAAGTTGTGGGTAAATTTTACAAGTTAAACATGATAATTGTTGTAAACCGAAATGTGAACTTTTCAAATATTAGCAGCACCCATTGTGTTCCCATTGCTAAAAGAGTCATTGTTTACAATACTTTAGCTTCAGGTTGATAATGAACTAAATCAATATTGCACATTAGACTTGTCTTGCTTCTTATTTGTTTCATACGATTACTAGCTTTCTGCATTTCCTTCAATTCTCAGGAGACGCCAGTTGCATCATTATATCCTGATTGGACAAGCTCTCTTCTGGTTTGGCAATGAGTCTTCTTGATGTTAAGCCAAGTAGATGCATTTAACTTTATTAAATTCTCTCCTCTTTTGTGGGTTTAGGCTTATTATAGTGCTGCTGCTACACCTCTCTTCTTTTCATCAACTGTTGCTTCTCTTACTCCCCATACCTATATGTGGGGAGGCCAGGTGATTTATGCCTATTCAAATCATTAATTAATGTTATACATAAATTTTCACACATCTTAAATGGTTTAACATGGAGGTAACACTTAATCTGCTTGTGTTGTGTTTCTAATTTAGCCTCTAATGTCGCCATATGGGACTCCGGTTTCATATCCTGCTATGTATACTCGTCGTGTATTCTATACCCCCTTTTTATTAATATTTTAAAAAATAGTATAGCAAAGGCATCGTTTGGTTAGAAAAAACCGATGCTAATACTCTTTTCTTTTAAATTAATAAAATAGCTAAGGCATCAGTTGTTTAGAAACAACCGATGCTAATACTCTTTTTTTAAAATTAATAAAATAGCAAAGGCATCGGTTGTTTAGAAACAACCGATGCTAATACTCTTTTTTTTAAATTAATAAAATAGCAAAGGCATCGGTTGTTCAGAAACAACCAATGCTAGTACTCGTTTTTTAAAATCAAAAAAATAGCAAAGGCATAGGTTGTTTTTGAACAACCGATGCTAATACTCTTTTTTTTTAAAATTTATAAAATAGCAAAGGCATCGGTTGTTTAGAAACAACCGATGCTAATACTCTTTTTTTAATAAAATAACAAAGGCATCAGTTGTTTCCGAAGCGATCCAATTGAATTGGACCAATTGCATCACTTGTATTTACATCGGTACAAAACCGATGCTAAAGCTATAAAACAATCGGTGCCTTTGCCCTTTTATGTACTAGTGACACATGCTCAAAGTTAACTATGGGTTTGCAGCACTCTTTTTCAAAAATGCTTAGACTATGCTGCTATCTATCGCCTTCTGCGTCGAAGCTCTTGCCCCTCCCAACTTGCAGATTCGCAAAGGTCAAGTTTTTCCGGGTAAGGGCGTTTGGAACGGCGGCCCCGATCGCCGCAGAGAAGAACGGCGGCGACACCTTCTTCGCGGAGGAAGACGTTTCTTGGAAGTCTCTCGGCGTCTCTGACCGCCTATCCCAGTCTTTATCTAGTATTGGGTTTCAGAGGCCATCTCTCGTTCAGGTGCGCAATTTATTTAGCATAAAAATTATCATTTGAGTATTTAGAAAGATAAAATTGATTGAAAAATTAGGCTATGAAGGAAGTGTCGATTAAAGATTCATTTTTTTTGGATTCCAATCCTTAGGTAATTTGGATAAAAATACTTCAAACATCACGTCTATTATGTATTACTTTAAGTATACTCGATCTTCACCCTTGAAAATAAAACTGTTACGATAACATAGACTATAAAAAATATGACTCGATGAATCCCTTACAAATATAGGGCCTTTTACGATCCCTTTCCCTTTTAAAGATTCCTATCAAAACCAAATTTGAAACCAATTGTGTAGTTGCAAACTTGTGGCTATCACCAACCATTACAGTTCAAATTCTATGTTCAGTTCTAACTATATCCTACCTGTTTTGTGCTTTGACACCATTTTATTGCCTTAAAAATTTCATCTTTTGTTAAAACAAGCATTTCATCTTGTGTAATTGACTACAGGCTGCTTGCATACCAAATATATTGTCTGGAGCTGATGTGGTGGTTGCTGCCGAGACTGGTAGTGGCAAAACCCATGGATACTTGGTTCCGTTGATCGATAAGCTTTCTAAAAGTGGTGGTATATCAGGAGGAGGTCTGTTGGAGAGAGAAGCAACAAAGTCCCGTCAACTCTCTCTTGTTCTATGTCCAAATGTCATGCTATGTGAGCAAGTGGTCAGAATGGCCAACTGTCTTTGTAACAATAGTGGCGAACCATTCCTCAAGGTTGCTGCTGTTTGTGGCCGACAGGTACTCTTATTACCAAAACAAAAGAACCTTAAAAGCCATGATTGGAGCTCAAGGAATGCTAGGGATAGAAAAAATTGGTCTTGATTTATTATATGCATAAACTGTCTAAATGTCCATGCAGACTTGGCCAGTGAAAGAACCAGATGTAATGGTGTCGACGCCCGCTGCAATTTTGAATTATATTCACACCGTTGACTCAGAGAATGGCCACCGCTCTGATTTTATACGTAGCTTGACACATGTGGTAAGTTTTCTTCCAATAGAAATCGATCAAAGCTCAATTTATTTAAGATACCTCTGGTTCGAATTCATCTCTTAGTCTGATCATTCAATTAACACCAGGTTTTTGATGAGGCAGACATGCTGCTTTGTGGAAGTTTCCAAAACCAAGTCATTCGAGTCATAAATATGCTTCGTTTTGATGAAAAGCAACTGTCCCATTTAAGCAATCATGAAGTTGAGATGCTGACCAGGCTGAGTCCTGATTCTCCTTTTGGCTGTGACCAAGAGGATGTCAATGGGGACTCGCTAGAAGATTGCAGCGACAAAGTGGATGATGTGGAAGATGATTCGAGCGCAACAGAATCAGAAGTTGACTGCAAGGTTGCCAAGAGAACAGATTGGCGAAGAGTGAGAAAAACATATGAGAGAAGTAAGCAGTATATTTTTGTTGCTGCAACACTTCCAGTGAATGGGAAGAAAACTGCCGGAGGAGTCTTAACACGAATGTTTCCTGATGCATGCTGGGTCAGTGGAAGCTACCTCCATTGCCACAACCCAAGGTGCCTTTTCATCTAGTAAATCTTTCCCCCATTTTATTGTTGAAGTTAAAAGTCCACGACATTTGTAGCTAAAAGAATCGTTTTTATGATATTTTAGTTTCAGAAAAATCATTGCATGTATATCTTCTATTGCTTCTTACTTTCTATGAAGTTTTCGGAAGTAAATACAACAATGCGTCATGGGTCTAATGGAAATAGCCTCTGCATATATATCTTGACCCTCCGAACCCCAATATTGAGTTTGTTATTGTATGGGTAGAAGCAGATGTCTCTGAAGTCTGAAGGATCGTAACACCATTGTTCTAAGTGTAGCTTCTTAAGACGTAATGTAATGAAATGTCTTATTAATTTTGAACAAAAGGCATTATTTGATGAACCGGCATTTTGCGCCCTCCCAGGTTGAAGCAGAAGTGGATTGAAGTTACAACAGACACACAGGCCGATGCTTTAATAGACTCTGTGAAAAATGGAACCCAATCCTCTGGAACACTTAGAACCATGGTGTTTGCAAACACTGTTGAAGCCGTGGAAGCTGTAGCCAAGATCTTGACGCGGGTTGGGATCGAGTGTTTCTGCTACCACCGCAATTGTTCCCTAGAGGAGCGCGCAGAAAGGCTCGCTGGCTTTCAACAGAGAGGCGGTGTTTTTGTTTGCACAGATGCTGCTGCCCGTGGTCTTGACGTTCCTAATGTTTCTGACGTTATTCAGGTATTTTTTTTCACGAAATTGAGCTTTTGATCTTGTGTTCTGCGTACTCTTTCTTGGGTATGGTACCCCTGGTTCAGTGTATTCACAATTAGTTACATTGTGGGCTTTTAAATGTGGTTGTCCCAACACATACATCATGTTTGGTTCAAGAAATTTAGAAGTAAAATAAAAAGAATTAATCTTCTCTCATTTTCCTCACCAAAATGAGAGGAATTTGGATTTCCCTCATTTCAATGCATTTCGCCTTCTACTTTTCTTTTCTTTTTCTCTTCGACCAAACAAGAAATCTTTTTTCCCTCTCACTTTCTTTTCGTTTCCCTTTCAAATTTTTTCAATCAAACATAGTGAGTGTTTTTTTGCTTGTGTGAAAAGATTGATTGCATTAGAAATGTGGGAGGGTTTTCATTCTTCCCATTAACTCTTAGCTTCTGATTTAAGATATTTTTTTAAAAATGTCATCTTTCTTCTACTTGATGACAGGCAGAATTTGCAACATCTGCTGTAGATTTCTTGCATCGGGTGGGTCGTACTGCTAGAGCCGGACAACCTGGGCTTGTGACCAGTCTCTATACTGAATCTAACCGGGATCTTGTGGCTGCTGTTCGTCGATCTGAAAACACGGGTGAACCAGTGGTAAGAGCTCTTTACAGTTACATTTAAAAACATCACCGAATTTCATGTCCAACCAAACCAAACCAAAACCAATCTTTCCCCCATGTGATCTTTGCTATTGTAATGTGAGTGCAGGAGAAGGCCTTTAGTCGAAAAAGAAGCTTCAGAAATAAACTTAAGAAGAGAGGTAATATGAATGACTAAACCCTCCCCACACATCCTTTCAATGAGTTTTATATGCTTTGGGAAACATTGTTTGTGCTTTTAGCTTAGGGTCTGTTTGGGGAGAGCAGAAAATTTCTCATTTTTTTGGTGTTTGGATGTTTCGAAAAGTAAGAGTTGAATAGAAAAAAGAGTCTTATTACGAGAAAGATGATTCCCACCCCGATTTATTATTGTATAACCAATGAAATTATTAATTTTATACTATTTTCCAAAATTTCAACCATACATCAGAAAATGAACTTATTTTCCCTATAGAAAACCATTTTCCCATCTTTCCAAACGAATCCTTAGTTTAGTCCTATCCATTTACATAACACATATCATGATATGACAGGTTCCATCAATAAGAATGTAGCTGAAGAGCCTCTTCTCTCATTATGACAACAAAACAAACAAACACAGAGGTAAGAATCTCTAATACACACACACAGAGACACATACATTAATGATTGGTCAACAGCAGCAACAAGAAGAGAGGTGTTGCTTTTATTACAGGTAGCAGGAAGAAGAAGAAGAGAGATAGAGAGGAGCAAAAGGAGGGGGGGGGGATTGTAGGGTAGGGGTCCCTGGGAGTTAAGGGCACTTGGGCTGGTTGCCATGTGTGGTCATGTCAGTGTAGCACCTTGCTGCAGAGGTGGCGGTTGCCAAAGGTGCCAGGTGGGATGCACTTGCACCTAGTGCAGCAGGTCCCACATGCTCTACTGCACACATTTGGCCTTGAATGCGCCGACGTGGAGTAGAACGTGTCGGGAGGTGTTAGACGTGTCAGGTTTGTTTGGGAAGTTAGGTAAGAGAAAAGAAACAAAAGGAACAGACATTAAAATTTCAGATCAAACTATACTAAAAGAAAATTAAATTTTGATCTTGAAAAAGAAAACGTTACAAGCAAATTGTGATTATTAAGATAATATTACATCATAGACAAGATGCATCTGTTCACTCGGATGCAATTTCTTCAGTTACATTTTGGGCTCTGACAGTATATAGAGCGTTCTTAAATCCACGGGAAAGAGGATATTCCTGTGTCCCTGGGCATTGAATATCTTTTAAACACACTAAGTGGAGGATCACATATCTGGTAATGGAAGGAAAAACACAAAAAGAATTGAATGATCGGAGTAAAAGTTGATACTTCTAAGCACCGGATAACAGTGACGATACATCTAATGCAGTGGTAGAAATGCAACAAAATGTTACGGTTTCCATTTTCCAAAACATTGTTAGTGAACAAAGCATGTGGTGATAGGTAAAGTGTTCACTCGGATGCAATTTCCGGAACTCTAATTGATGCATAAGACAAAATACCTAAAGAACTGTCATTCATTAGGAGCCAGAAACAACTGAACACACTAGAGAAAAGGCTGCCCAACACTATTTCCTTGCTAAACTAAAGAATCTTAGGACGGATAGAAGTTCCATGCAGTAGCAGACAAATCTATCACCAACATACGAATGCATGTAGAAACCAAGACATCTATGTGCCCCTTGATGTAAATATCTGCATAGAAAAAGCTTTTGCAAGCACTGCGTAGTGAAATATAAAAACGTCTCTTACACACTCCAAGGTAGTAGCCTAATGAAAAAACTATTCAGAAACCAATTAAAATTAACAATCCAACGTGTTTGATGCTGGCATTCCATAGGTAAGATGAGAATTTGCAAAATGTACTAGTGTTTTATTAGCAGTAGCTCCTACCCCGGGTCTCCACCAATTCCTGTAAACGAGAAGATGCACAAAACTTGTACACAATCAATAATGAACTTGACCTTTTCACAGTGGAAATCAATCAAAATCCAAGCTATATATTAAAGCCACTTCTTGATGAATTCCAAGCTAAATGCAACCGAATAATCACAAATTCCAACCAAGCATAGCAAACACAATGTGTGATCTGTGAAGCATAGATACGCAAAAGCTTCCATGACATCGCGGGGGTGCCAGGAAAATAAGATGCCTTGGGCGCAGCCGGGGAAAAACACGGGGACGCGCATGGCCGACGGTGAAAGGAAGGGAGGGACCGTCGTCGGGAGTATTTCTTGTTTTGCGGATTTCTCTTGCGTATATTCTCCCGTATGCTTAATTTGAATTGATGCCGGTGAGTGCCAAAGAGTAAGGCCGAGTTCGATTCCTGGCAATTGCGCTAGAAGGCTACTACGCTAAGCATAGGGTCTCTGCAAGTACCAAGTGCAGACGCCAATCTGCGATTAAAGTCCAATTTACCTCCTCTCAAATGGCTCCACTTGTCGGTAAGAGGCTGAGTAGAAATGGATGATTTGTACCACAAAAGGCGGAGATAAGATTCGATTGGTTGGAATGGGCATCTGCGCGATGACATCGTCAGCGATTTGAAGTTTGACGATTCTGGCGTGGGGTTCCCGGGTGGACAATCACACAGTGCAGCATCACCCTGAATTTCATCCATCTCCTCTCTATGTGATTGATGATGGCGCCTTCAGTAAAATGAGAACTGCAGCCATCATGACCATAGAACTTGTGGAATCCCTGGCCCGATCGGATCCTAATTCGCTGGATAAGCCTCCTTACTCTAGAGGCCAAAGAGGAGTATCCATCTCTTCTTCCCCGCGGCAATAGAAATCTGGCCAGTTCGATGAGTTCCCCGTTCACCTGCTCATAGATCGGTATCCACATTATCTCCTCCTCCATGCCTTCTTCTTCTTCTTCTTCTTCAACCGGCTCGCCTTCTTCTCTACCGCCCGCTGCTATGGTGAAGAAAAACAAGCAGCAACGTCTTCCCTGTTATCACGACTTCCTCCCATCCTGTCAGTTCTTCACCAAACTCCACATCCTCATAGAGCGAGTGATCAAGAGCTCTTCCGTACCGCGCGCCTCATCAGGAGGAGGTCGGAGGAGTTCCTCTACATACAGTTGACCAGATTTGAATGTTGTGTTTTTGTAAGATATGGCACCTCTGTAACCCAAGAATCACAACCCGCACAGAGATGGCTCTCGCGGACTGTGGCCAACCCTATCGCAGAGACAGAGACGATGAAAAGAAGTAGGGAGAGAATTGGAAGTTTTTGCAGAGGCATGGTGGGGTTTGGGCGAGAGAAATAAGATGCTGCGATTTGGTGTTGATTGAATTGGGGCAATGTGATTTGGGGTTATATACCGAGAGTGACCACACTAGGCAGTCCGTTGGAGGTTATTCTAACCGGGCCACATTATGCCTCGCGTAACTCATTCCCTCTCCTTCCCGAATTTTAAAAATTCTTCCATTTTGATTTTATGAAATAATTCCAAATTAAAAGAGAATAAGATTAAGGTCAGAGTCAAACATAAAAAAATTGAAAATACCAAAAGAAACATCTTAGTGAATTGACAAAAAAACCCCTTGGATGTTTTTTGGTATTGATTTTAAAGGGGTTTTTTTGTAAATTTCGTGCAACTAACATTTATCAATTTCCTCGGATGTGTTTTGCTATTTTCAATTTTGTTTATGTTTCCATTTGACTTTAGTCTTATTCTCTTTTAATTTGAATTATTTCATAAAATCAAAATAAAAATAGAGCGGGAATTTTTAAAATTTTAGGAAGGGGAGGGAATCAGTTACATCACGCGTCACCACCCCAAGCAATCTGGCCCGACCAAAATGACCTCCAATAGACTGCTCGGTGTGGTCAATCTCGGTATATAACCTAAATCACATCCGCCCAATTCAAACAACACCAAATTGCAGCATCTAACTTCTCTCGCCCAAACCACCATGGCTCTGCAAAAACTCCCAATTCTCTCCCAGCTTCTCTTTATCGTCTCTGTCTCTGCAATAGGTTGGCCGCCGGCCGCGAGAATCTCGCCGGCGGCGAAAGTCATCTCTGCACGATTTGTGATTTCTAGATTACTGAGATGCCATATCTTACAAAAGCGCAACATTCAGATCTGGTCAATTGTATGCAGAGGAACTCCTCCTCCAACCTCCTAATGAGGCGCACGGTGTTTACCGGCGATGGAAGAGCTTCGGATCACTTGCTCCACGAGGATGTGGAGTTCGGTGAAGAACTGACAGGATGGGATGAAGTCGTGATGACATGGGAAGACGCTACTTCTTCTTCTTTACCCTTCTTCACCATAGCGACAGGCGATAAAAAGGAGAGCCCGTTGAAGAAGAAGAAGGCATGGTGGAGGAGGAGGAGAAGGAGATAATGTGGATACCGATCTATCAGCAGGTGAATGGAGAACTCGTCGTATTGGCCATATTTCTATTGTCGCGGGGAAGAAGAGATGGATACTCCTCTTTGGCCTCTAGGGCTGAGAGGGGTGTATCCAGAGAATCTGGATCCAATCGGGCCAAGAATTCTACGCGTTCTATGGCCATGGTGGCCACTGTTCACGAGTGTCGTGTATCATTCTGCTGAAGGCGCCGTCATCAATCCCTTGGAGAGGAGATGGATGGAATTCACGATGATGCTGCACTATGTGAATGTCCACCGAGAACCACCTGCTAGAATCGTCAACCTCTAGATCGCTGACAAAGACAATGTCATCACGCAGATGCTCATTCTAAATAATCCATTTCTACTTAGCCTCTTACTGACGAATGGAGGCATTTGATGACCGCAAGATGTCCCATAACTCATGGTTTATGAGTGATCTGCACTATTATGGCGCCGATGAGGAACGGCTGCGACACCCACTATTGGGGAAGGAAAATATGATGATGACATGGATGTAGATGATAATTAGGATGATGACGGGGAAGGTGATGATGAATAGCACACCGACCACGTGGAAGATGATGAGACTCCCACCCTGCCTGATGACCTTGATGAGCATTTTGACTATTTTGACAATCTGTACCGGCTGCATCGTTTCAGCTGCACACTATCATTGTGGCTCCACTATTGTAGGTTGCTTCTGAGAAAGTCATAGTAATTAGCTTGGTTTGTTTCTACATAAAGAAATAGCCCCTTGACCCGTTGCTCGCTGGCCTAACTGTTAATAGGCACCAATCTCGCCCTTATTAATGTTGTCAAACAATTTAGCTGATTCTCGCTCCGTCATTAAGTCCCAAAGATGGCGGAGTAGTACAGCGGGATGGCTATATGCGTGCCCTCGCCTAGCATTGTGTCCGTCAATCAAACTCGTGGAATCTGACTGTGCCAACCTGATCAGTTAATCCCTCGATCCCCCTCCAAAAACGGCCCTATAAGAAAATGGCCATTCCGAAGACATGAGTGATTACTTTTTAGGAAAGACCATAGTTGTTACGGTGGCTAGGCGAGGCTGGGCGCTAGAGCACCTTCCAATTGCCAAGGCCAATAGGCGCCAGCCTAGGCGTCCGCTGGGCGAGTGGGTTAGGGCGACCATAAGAATTTTATAGGTACTAATGTTAAAGCATATAATATGAAATAATTAATTAAAATGAATATATATATATATATATATATATATATATATATATATATATATATATATAATGAAGGGAGAGATTTTTAGTTTTATTAAAACAAAAGGAAAATACAAGGGGGCCAAAAGGACAAGAATTACAATAAAAAGATGAACATCTAAAGCCAAAATGCTGAATAAAAAAACTGCCCAACCAGTTTTTATTTAAAGCGGATAAAAGTAGTTGTTACATCACAATTTATGGCTCCCCTTGAATTCTTTGGGAGAGATAAAATATTAGGGAAATAACTGAAGGTATTTCGCTTGAACTCTTTGGAAGAGATTATATATATATATATATATATATATATATATATATATATATATATATATATATATATATATATATATATATATATATATATATATATATATATATATATATATATATATATATATATATATGACTGCTCCAATCAAGGGCGCTTTTAAAAGGCATATTAAATTTTGGGCCTTGTACTCTTGTGTAAAGCTCCAATAGTCTTTTAATGAACCTAGGCCAGTTATTTGACCTAGTCCACAAGCCTATATGATATAGAGAGATTGAAAGACATAGAGACCGGAGCCGCTGGAAGATCTGCGAGAAAGATAATAAGTCTTCATTCTATCTCTTCTATCGTCTATTCTCTCTATCACGCGCGTTCCCTTGAGCTTCTAAAACGTAGATGCGTCTCCGAGATAGTCACTGAGTCGCCCAGGGAAAAAAAGCTAGGCGACCAACTAGGCTTCCACAAAGCCTCGCCCGGACGCCTAGGCGACGCCTTGATATGTAACGCCCCAAAACATACCCTAAAATTTTTAATGAATAAATATTCAATTAGTCAAATTTGTTCTGATTAAAATAAATTGTTGTTGGGCTTTGGGCCGAAATAAATTGTGTTTTGATATCCAATATTACAATCAGGATAAGTCTCATAGAGATAAATCCAAAATGTTAACTAATTGTGTGATCTTGGTTGGGAACCTGTGTACAGACCCAAGTTAAGAATAAATGAATAAAATTGTTTATGATGTAAACTTTGAAATGATTTATTGAAATATATCATGAAAATAAATAATATGAATGGAATGTAAGAACCTTTTTGAGTAAAGGTCAATTAAACCAATTTTGACTCTGTCAAAGTCAAACACCCAAAAATATGATGTCGGAAAAAGTATTTAAAATAATTATAAAAATTATATCATATAATAGAGTTTAACTGTCTGATCGCAACGACAACAACAACAACAACCCAGTTGAATCCCACAACAGTAGGGTCTGGGGAGGGTGTGTGTACGCAGACCTTGCCCCTACTCGGAAGTAGGGAGGCTGTTTCCAAGAGACCCCCAGCTCCACCTGCACAAAAATATGGAAGAGAACACAGTATATCACAGATAAGGCACCAAGTACAAGCAACAAGTACAAACAATAGCAAAAGATTCGGTTGTTTATGTTGTGTGATGTTTTGTTGGAGATGTTGTGGCTCGAGGATAGGTCGATGAGATTAGGATCAAGAGGTTTCCAAGGATAGATCCCGGTATAGGAGTCAGTCCAGCTCTTCAGGATTTAGGACAGAATAGTGGAGGAGCCAATTCTTCTTAGGTCTACCCCTTCCCCTACTTCCCCCGATAACTGTAATCCCCGATAACTGTCTGATCGCAACGGTACAAACGAAATTCAATTCGGAGAAAGTTGGACCAAAAAGTTTACCCCGACTGGGACCTAAATTAGTCCCAATCAAGGAAATATCGTGGAAATATCCGATCAGCGCATACACCTCCACTACACAATTATGGGACGCAGCAATGACTCAGCACTGTCCTCTTCCTCTTCTCTTCTCCTATATAAGGATACTCAATCCTTACCAATTCTTCACCAGTTTTCTAGAAATATATACCATTGTGTTCATAAGAGTAAGGAGAGCAGTCTAGTGTTGTTGGTTGCCACCGAAGTCGCCGGAGTTGGGAGTATTCATCGCCGGAAGTTTCGACAGAAAATTTCTAAAACCTCCGTTAAGCTTCGAGGTAAGCCTGTAGATATATCTAGTGACTAGAATGTTCGTATAGATCGTTTCTACGTTCATAAACGGTCGTTTGGTTGAGTTTTATATTTGACATGTTTAAAGGATTTCGAATCTTAAACCTTGAATTTGATGTTAAAACTACGAATTAATGACTCTAAAATGATATCTGAAAATTGGAGGACATTTTTATATAATTTAATTGAAGTTTGGTGATTAAAAATGATAATGTTAAAACTGACCAGAGGAAGAAGATGATGAACAGTGGCCGAAAATTGATTACTTCCTTACTAAAAATCAATTAGACTTTTATTCAGATCATCAGTTTGAAGTCAGTACCAGTTAATCGATTATTTATATTGTAAAAATTGATTATTATGAATTAATTGATTATTTAGATTGTAAAAATCGATTATTATGAATTAATTGATTATTTAAATTGTAAAAAATGATTTTTATGAATTAATTGAATATTTAAATTGTAGAAATTGATTATAATGAATTAATTGATTATTTAAAGTGTAAAAATAGATTATAATGAATTAATTGATTATTTAAATTATATAAATCAATTTTTATAAATTAATTGATTATTTTAAATTATTTTCCTCAATTCCAGATCGTGCTACGAAAATGTTCCTGAAAATATGCTCT